CCAAAAATTTTGGGAAACTGGTTCAGTAGCTACCAAATGACGTAAAATGGAAAATGCTATAGTAAATGGAGCTACAGAGGTGCCGATTTTAGGGCATGTTGTTCAAAAACAAAAAAAATTGAGTACAAGGCAGTTTGCGATAACATCTGGTATTAAGAAAAGTAGCATTCATAAGATATTGAAAAAACATTCCTACAAAATTCATCTGGTATATGAACTTAACGAAGACGATTTTGATAGGCGATTACAATTTTGTGAAATTATGACTGAACAGGCAATAAATGATCAGAAATTTCTTTTCAATGTGTGTTTTTCAGACGAATGCACTTTTTTCCTAAATAGTACGGTAAATCGTCACAACTGTCGTTATTGGTCCGATTCAAATCCCAGAATATTTAATGAAATGCATACGCAACATCCGGAAAAACTGAATGTTTTGGTTGGCATTTTTGGTAACCGTATAACTGGCCCTTTTTTTTACCTGGAACTTTAACAGCAGACATGTATCTGGAATTATTAAAAAACGCCATTTATCCAGCATTACTAGGGTTAATTGAGAATGAATATCAGTACATAGCAAACAACTTAATATTCCATCAATATGGTGTGCCACCCCATTTGCAGTGACTATTCGTCAGTATGTGAATCAAACGTTTTCAGGTCAATGGATCGGAAGACATTAAATAACTAAGACATTAAAGAAATCAAAAATGTTTTTATCTCAATTCATGATAATATAATCAATAATGTTATCGAAGTTTATGTTCGTTAATATAATGACCTATTCCTATTGTATTGAGTGAGTGGCCCCCACGGTCTTCGGATCTAACCTTGATGGATTTTTAATGAGGCTACTTAAAAACTAAAATTTATGCCACCCAGCCAACATCACTGGAAAATCTGTGACAAAGGGGGCGTCCATTAATTATGTTAGATAATTTTGAGAATTTTTTGACCCCCTCCTCCCTAGTGAGATTTCGTAAGATTATCCTCAAGTGAGGTGTGGAGGGTGGAGAGGGGATTGCCCCCATTTCCTGTATAGAGGCCGGGCACCTAAAGCAATTTTTGAGTTCCGGCGCCAATGCATAGATATTTTATATTACTTAAACGCATTATATTACGTGATCCTGGGTAGAATTATGATATTGAACTGATTGGAACACATTAGATACTAATGAGCAGTATATAATTAGCAACAAAATATGGCATAAAATTCATTTTGCTATCTCATTTGATATGGGATATAGTCTTCTCAATTTAAAGGGGATAATATTTCCCGAAAACTACTAAACCAAAAAAATATTCTTTCGGTTTTAAATAGAAACAAATTATCATAAATATATGCTACAAACCCGATTCCGATATATCTTATAGAAACAGAGATACAACACTTTCCACTGTAGATTAAGTATCAAGCTATCATAGCCATTGTTCCTTACGAACCACAATAACAAAAAATAAATTGATATATTTTTGTAGAGCAAAAAATTATCAAAAAAATATGCCGCAAACCCGATTCTGATATATCTAATAGAAACAAAAATACAGCACTGGCCATTGTAGTTTTAGTATCAATCAAGCATTGCCAATGTTTCTCGGTAACAGCAGGAGCAAAAAATTTAAAATTGGGTAGACATTACTTATATAGTTACAATATTTTAAAAATAATGTAGTTTATTCTATTTAACATTCACGGTAGTTACCTATAATGTTCTTTAGAGAGCCTGTGGAAAGTTTGTGCAAAATTTCAAGAAAATCTATCGCTTTAAGATGTCTGCAGATTTAATATTAGTAAATAGTTTTAAAGTTGAAAGCTATCTACTTTTTGAGTATCAATATTTCGAATTTACGTCCTTTTAGTTAAAATCTCTTATCAATGATATGTATTTTTAATTAGGTAGCTTTCCATATACAGAACGTGCCACTGAAGACATTCCATCATTTAGCCGTAATCATCAGATATAAAAAAAAAACTTGAAAGAGGTGACATATTTTTTCAATTTAAGGTTTGTTCGGGTTCTTCCAAAATACGTTGAGATCTGTCAGAGGACTAGTTACCCAGTGGACAGTTTAAAAGTGTTACGCGACGAATAATTTGTTATTCATCTGTTCTATTGGATATCTGACAGTTTACATCAAATTTTAAAGAAACCCGATTAGATTAGGCTGAAAATGAGTGGGATGATCTCATCGCCTTCCACTGCGACCCAGATGGATCAATTGTGGCTCATGATTAACTTATATTTCACCGTACAAATTACACTTTTTGACGAAGGCCATGGTTGAACTGGGCGAGACATGTTTAAAGTTGTTAGGCTCCAGTCTGGTAAATCCGAAGATCTGTGACCTGGTTATTTCCAACCCGAACAAACTGATAGGCGTCTTTCATCTGTTAACCCTCTCTCTTTCTTCTTCATTGGCAAATCAATGAAAAGGTAATATATGGATAATTTAGCGGTTAGGGTCGAGAACTCGGGGTTTAACTTTAAAACACAGCTACTTCATCCCATATAAAAACCGCCTCCTAACACATACCAAAAAACCGCCCATCAACCTCCCATAGCTGGATATAAAAGGGATATAGATTTTTTTACATGCCCAGAATTTCAATTTTTTCAAAAACTTTTCATATAAACGATTAAAAATAGTTTTGAGATAAAAATCTAATTTTTTGTACATTTACAATAAACATGTGCATATGTGCTTATATAAAATTATTATCCATCTATCCACTAGATGGAGGGGGTGTCACCTTCAAAATAGACATTTTTTCAAATGTTCAATAATTTAAAACTTTCCCGCCCAAAAAAAATTAAATTTTGAGAATGTACGTATCGAAGATTTTAACTGTTTTATTGCGTAACTATTGATTTTAGCAGATTTTAAAAAACTGTTACGTATTGTAAAGGGTGACACTTAATTTGAATTTTTTTTTAGTCATTTTTACTTTCCTATCTGTATAAGGAAAGTATAGGAATCATGATTTTTTTCGACCTCGAGTTTTCGACGGATTTTTACGTGTGTGTGTGTGTGTGTGTGTGTGTGTGTGTGTGTGTGTGTGTGTGTGGTGTGTGTGTGTGTGTGTGTGTGTGTCTGTGTGTGTCTGTGTGTCGCATAACTCATGAACCCATACACAGAAAAACACCAAATTTTAAATTTAAGCTTTGTTCCAGCGTCCAATGAGCTGATTAGATTTTGGGCAGAGTCGGAACATCTGGGGGGTACTTTATAGGAGGTCATTTTTTATATTTTATGGAATATATCTGTTATTTACGTTCGAGAAGAAAATTCAAATAAAAGTTACTTCTTATATTATTATCTATAATTTTTGTTCTATACAAAATTTTCCTAAAATGGTCCGTATTCGAGAAATTTGACAAAATGTAGAAAAATATTTTGTTATAAAAATTGTTCAAACGAAAGTTATTTGTAATATAATTCTCTATAATTTTTATTTTATACATAATTTCCCGTATTCGAGATATTTGAGAAAATGTGTAAATTTCGAAATTTGAAGAAAATTCAAAAACGGATAAAGAAAAAACAATAAATTTTAAACTAAAGTTTTATTTCGGCCTGACGTGAAATAATTAGACTTTGGACAAAGTCGGAACATCTGGGGGGGTACTTTATGGGAGGCCGTTTTTATTATTTTATGGAATATATCTGTTATTTATGTTTGGAGAAAAAAATTGTTTAAATAAAAGTTACTTCTAATATTATTATCTATAATTTTTGCTTTATGTAAAAATTTACTGAAATGGTCCGTATTCGAGAAATTTGACAAAATGTGCAAAATTCTGATTTTTATGAAAATTGTTGAAATAAAAGTTGTTTGCAATATCGATCTCTATAATTTTTGTTTATACATGATTTTTCTAAAATGGACCGTAATGGAAAAATTGTAGGAAAAGTGCTAAATTTAAATTTTTCAGTATTTTCATTTTCAATGAATATCTATAGAAAAATGTTTCGAGGTAGATGTATGTGGAAAATGTATATATTTAGTTTATCCTCCTCTAAACATTTATAGAGGTGCTGCAATAGGTTGTACAAAATGACCGGAAAAAGCCTGTAATAACTAGATAGGAAAGTCATGTGTTGGACACATCAGATTTTTTATTTTGGTTGATTGCGGTTAAAGTTGAATTGATTTAATCTCAAAGTTTTCCAGTTATTTAATTATGTGTTTAATTCTATTATGTTTTGTTGTATTGTCACGACATTACGTGTTCCTTTAACAAATAACAACGTACTATCGAATGAAATTGTTTAGGTTACAATCTCTATGAAGTCACAATTTGAGGTCCAAACATAGGATTAGCTATGACCCAGGGGTTAACCAACAATATGTATTAATACACTCCTCATTAGTGTAAGCACTATATTACTTCAAACTTGGATTCTTCACTGTTTAAGGGTACTACTCTTGGTATCAGGTTCTAATGTACCTCTGCAAGAGACTAAAGGAAATACAGGTTTCTCGAAACAAATTTATTATATTATTATAATTCTATAAAATAAGACACAATCCGGTATACACACAAATATGGGCTCGACCCAGTGTAAAATATAATATACTATAAGTATTCCATATTTTCCACGATTAAAGCAAATGGTATTTTAATAACGAATTAATTTCGAAAATATGAATTTATATAAAGCGTAACATTAAAATTAATATACAAGTATAATAATTAGTTTTTTAATAAAGTATGATAGTTACAATAGGTAACAATTTATCATTCTTCTGGAGGGCGCTAAAATCAAAATTATATTGCTGAATTCCACATGAAAGTACCTTTTTTATAATGTATTACAAATTATATAGTCCTTATTAATAATAATAATAATAATTTTAAAATTAAAGTTTTGAAAAAGGATAAGGGAGAAGGTTAATATATGACACTCCAACCCAAGCAAAGTAGGACCGGATAGTTTAATCTTTCCAGCACTATATAAATAGTTTAAAAAAAATGTATCACTTTGTATTTTTACAGAAAAATGGCTGCTGCTTACAAATTGACTTATTTTCAACATTACTGCCCTCGGCGAGCCCATAAGATTTATCCTGAGTTATGGAAACATCGACTTTGAGGACAATCGCATAATCTTTGAGAATTGGTCTTCTATTAAACCTAGTAAGTACCTACACAAGACTGCCCTTTCATAAGTATAAATATACTGCAGATGTGCCCTGTGGAACAAGCGAACAGAATGGCTTCACACGGGCATTTACCATCAGGATGGTAGAAGCCCACCAAATGGCCACATCCAAAAGAGACGTTATTCACATTTTGGGTTTTTGATCTAAGAGTAGGGTTGTGCCACCTGTCCTTTTTTTTGAAAATGACAGTAATTTTTTCAAACAAATTGTCCTTGTGACTTTTTAAAGCTTAAAATATCCTTTTCTACAGCACATGTCCTTTAAAAGGGCCTGGTTTTTATAAAATATAAGGGGGCGTCCATTAATTACGTGAGGTATTTTTGAGGATTTTTCGACAGTCAATACGCTCCAGTTGTAGGTCTGGAGCAAAGAGACATGTGGTGAGAGGTAAGATATGGGATAAAGAGCAGGATTTTACGGCGATACAATTTTTTTTAATTTTTATTAATTTTTATTAATTTTATTAATTTTTAATAATTTTTATTAATTTTTATTAATTTTTATTAATTTTTATTAATTTTTATTAATTTTTATTAATTTTTATTAATTTTTATTAATTTTTATTAATTTTTATTAATTTTTATTAATTTTTATTAATTTTTATTAATTTTTATTATTTTTTATTAATTTTTATTAATTTTTATTAATTTTTATTAATTTTTATTAATTTTTATTAATTTTTATTAATTTTTATTAATTTTTATTAATTTTTATTAATTTTTATTAATTTTTTATTAATTTTATTAATTTTTATTAATTTTTATTAATTTTTATTAATTTTTATTAATTTTTATTAATTTTTATTAATTTTTATTAATTTTTATTAATTTTTATTAATTTTTATTAATTTTTATTAATTTTTATTAATTTTATTAATTTTTATTAATTTTTATTAATTTTTATTAATTTTTATTAATTTTTTATTAATTTTTATTAATTTTTATTAATTTTTATTAATTTTTATTAATTTTTATTAATTTTTATTAATTTTTATTAATTTTTATTAATTTTTATTAATTTTTATTAATTTTTATTAATTTTATTAATTTTTATTAATTTTTATTAATTTTTATTAATTTTTATTAACTTTTATTAATTTTTATTAAGTTTTATTAATTTTTATTAATTTTTATTAATTTTTATTAATTTTATTAATTTTTATTAATTTTTTATTAATTTTATTAATTTTTATTAATTTTTATTAATTTTTATTAATTTTTATTAATTTTTATTAATTTTTATTAATTTTTATTAATTTTTATTAATTTTTATTAATTTTTATTAATTTTTATTAATTTTTTATTAATTTTTATTAATTTTTATTAATTTTTATTAATTTTTATTAATCTTTTATTAATTTTTATTAATTTTTATTAATTTTTATTAATTTTTATTAATTTTTATTAATTTTTATAATTTTTATTAATTTTATTAATTTTTATTAATTTTTATTAATTTTTATTAATTTTTATTAATTTTATTAATTTTTATTAATTTTTATTAATTTTTATTAATTTTTATTAATTTTTATTAATTTTTATTAATTTTTTATTAATTTTTATTAATTTTTATTAATTTTTATTAATTTTTATTAATTTTTATTAATTTTTATTAATTTTTATTAATTTTTATTAATTTTTATTAATTTTTATTAATTTTTATTAATTTTTATTAATTTTTATTAATTTTTATTAATTTTTATTAATTTTTATTAATTTTTATTAATTTTTATTAACTTTTATTAATTTTTATTAATTTTTATTAATTTTTATTAATTTTTATTAATTTTTATTAATTTTTATTATTTTTATTAATTTTTATTAATTTTTATTAATTTTTATTAATTTTTATTAATTTTTATTAATTTTTATTAATTTTTATTAATTTTTATTAATTTTTATTAATTTTTATTAATTTTTATTAATTTTTATTAATTTTTATTAATTTTTATTAATTTTTATAATTTTTATTAATTTTTATTAATTTTTATTAATTTTTGTTAATTTTTATTAATTTTTATTAATTTTTATTAATTTTTATTAATTTTTATTAATTTTTATTAATTTTTATTAATTTTTATTAATTTTTATTAATTTTTATTAATTTTTATTAATTTTTATTAATTTTTATTAATTTTTATTAATTTTTATTAATTTTTATTAATTTTTATTAATTTTTATTAATTTTTATTAATTTTTATTAATTTTTATTAATTTTTATTAATTTTTATTAATTTTTATTAATTTTTATTAATTTTTATTAATTTTTATTAATTTTTATTAATTTTTGTTATTTTTGTTAATTTTATTAATTTTTATTAATTTTTATTAATTTTTATTAATTTTTATTAATTTTTATTAATTTTTATTAATTTTTATTAATTTTTATTAATTTTTATTAATTTTTATTAATTTTTATTAATTTTTATTAATTTTTATTAATTTTTATTAATTTTTATTAATTTTTATTAATTTTTATTAATTTTTATTAATTTTTATTAATTTTTATTAATTTTTATTAATTTTTTATTAATTTTTATTAATTTTTATTAATTTTTATTAATTTTTATTAATTTTTATTAATTTTTATTAATTTTTATTAATTTTTATTAATTTTTATTAATTTTTATTAATTTTTATTAATTTTTATTATTTTTTATTATTTTTTATTAATTTTTATTAATTTTTTATTAATTTTTATTAATTTTTATTAATTTTTATTAATTTTTTATTAATTTTTATTAATTTTTATTAATTTTTATTAATTTTTATTAATTTTTATTAATTTTTATTAATTTTTATTAATTTTTATTAATTTTTATTAATTTTTATTAATTTTTATTAATTTTTATTAATTTTTATTAATTTTTATTAATTTTTATTAATTTTTATTAATTTTTATTTAATTTTATTAATTTTTATTAATTTTTATTAATTTTTATTAATTTTTATTAATTTTTATTAATTTTTATTAATTTTTATTAATTTTTATTAATTTTTATTAATTTTTATTAATTTTTATTAATTTTTATTAATTTTTATTAATTTTTATTAATTTTTATTAATTTTTATTAATTTTTATTAATTTTTATTAATTTTTATTAATTTTTATTAATTTTTATTAATTTTTATTAATTTTTATTAATTTTTATTAATTTTTATTAATTTTTATTAATTTTTATTAATTTTTATTAATTTTTATTAATTTTTATTAATTTTTATTAATTTTTATTAATTTTTATTAATTTTTTATTAATTTTTATTAATTTTTATTAATTTTTATTAATTTTCACCCCCGTTTCCCCCCCTTAAATGTGAAAATCCAAAAACCCTGAAACACGTCATTATTTATTTATGCTCAGTAGCTGTAATTTCAATTTTCATATTTCTACACTTTAAAGAACAAAGAGTTTCATTAAAAGCTCCCTCCCCCCATTTCCTCCCATTTCCCCCCCTTTAAAGTTAAAATTTCCAAAAATCCTTCCTTAGCGGATGCTTACGTTATAAAATAAACCTATGTTCCAAATTTCAGCTTTCTAGGCTCAGTAGTTTTGGCTGTACGCTGATAGGTCAGGTCAGGTCAGTCAGTCAGTCAGTCAGTCAGTCAGTCAGGTCAGTCAGTCAGTCAGTCAGTCAGTCAGTCAGTCAGTCAGTCAGTCAGTCAGTCAGTCAGTCAGTCAGTCAGTCAGTCAGTCAGTCAGTCAGTCAGTCAGTCAGTCAGTCAGTCAGTCAGTCAGTCAGTCAGTCAGTCAGTCAGTCAGTCAGTCAGTCAGTCAGTCAGTCAGTCAGTCAGTCAGTCAGTCAGTCAGTCAGTCAGTCAGTCAGTCAGTCAGTCAGTCAGTCAGTCAGTCAGTCAGTCAGTCAGTCAGTCAGTCAGTCAGTCAGTCAGTCAGTCAGTCAGTCAGTCAGTCAGTCAGTCAGTCAGTCAGTCAGTCAGTCAGTCAGTCAGTCAGTCAGTCAGTCAGTCAGTCAGTCAGTCAGTCAGTCAGTCAGTCAGTCAGTCAGTCAGTCAGTCAGTCAGTCAGTCAGTCAGTCAGTCAGTCAGTCAGTCAGTCAGTCAGTCAGTCAGTCAGTCAGTCAGTCAGTCAGTCAGTCAGTCAGTCAGTCAGTCAGTCAGTCAGTCAGTCAGTCAGTCAGTCAGTCAGTCAGTCAGTCAGTCAGTCAGTCAGTCAGTCAGTCAGTCAGTCAGTCAGTCAGTCAGTCAGTCAGTCAGTCAGTCAGTCAGTCAGTCAGTCAGTCAGTCAGTCCAGTCAGTCAGTCAGTCAGTCAGTCAGTCAGTCAGTCAGTCAGTCAGTCAGTCAGTCAGTCAGTCAGTCAGTCAGTCAGTCAGTCAGTCAGTCAGTCAGTCAGTCAGTCAGTCAGTCAGTCAGTCAGTCAGTCAGTCAGTCAGTCAGTCAGTCAGTCAGTCAGTCAGTCAGTCAGTCAGTCAGTCAGTCAGTCAGTCAGTCAGTCAGTCAGTCAGTCAGTCAGTCAGTCAGTCAGTCAGTCAGTCAGTCAGTCAGTCAGTCAGTCAGTCAGTCAGTCAGTCAGTCAGTCAGTCAGTCAGTCCAGTCAGTCAGTCAGTCAGTCAGTCAGTCCAGTCCAGTCCAGTCAGTCAGTCAGTCAGTCAGTCAGTCCAGTCAGTCAGTCAGTCAGTCAGTCAGTCAGTCAGTCAGTCAGTCAGTCAGTCAGTCAGTCAGTCAGTCAGTCAGTCAGTCAGTCAGTCAGTCAGTCAGTCAGTCAGTCAGTCAGTCAGTCAGTCAGTCAGTCAGTCAGTCAGTCAGTCAGTCAGTCAGTCAGTCAGTCAGTCAGTCAGTCAGTCAGTCAGTCAGTCAGTCAGTCAGTCAGTCAGTCAGTCAGTCAGTCAGTCAGTCAGTCAGTCAGTCAGTCAGTCAGTCAGTCAGTCAGTCAGTCAGTCAGTCAGTCAGTCAGTCAGTCAGTCAGTCAGTCAGTCAGTCAGTCAGTCAGTCAGTCAGTCAGTCAGTCAGTCAGTCAGTCAGTCAGTCAGTCAGTCAGTCAGTCAGTCAGTCAGTCAGTCAGTCAGTCAGTCAGTCAGTCAGTCAGTCAGTCAGTCAGTCAGTCAGTCAGTCAGTCAGTCAGTCAGTCAGTCAGTCAGTCAGTCAGTCAGTCAGTCAGTCAGTCAGTCAGTCAGTCAGTCAGTCAGTCAGTCAGTCAGTCAGTCAGTCAGTCAGTCAGTCAGTCAGTCAGTCAGTCAGTCAGTCAGTCAGTCAGTCAGTCAGTCAGTCAGTCAGTCAGTCAGTCAGTCAGTCAGTCAGTCAGTCAGTCAGTCAGTCAGTCAGTCAGTCAGTCAGTCAGTCAGTCAGTCAGTCAGTCAGTCAGTCAGTCAGTCAGTCAGTCAGTCAGTCAGTCAGTCAGTCAGTCAGTCAGTCAGTCAGTCAGTCAGTCAGTCAGTCAGTCAGTCAGTCAGTCAGTCAGTCAGTCAGTCAGTCAGTCAGTCAGTCAGTCAGTCAGTCAGTCAGTCAGTCAGTCAGTCAGTCAGTCAGTCAGTCAGTCAGTCAGTCAGTCAGTCAGTCAGTCAGTCAGTCAGTCAGTCAGTCAGTCAGTCAGTCAGTCAGTCCAGTCAGTCAGTCAGTCAGTCAGTCAGTCAGTCAGTCAGTCAGTCAGTCAGTCAGTCAGTCAGTCAGTCAGTCAGTCAGTCAGTCAGTCAGTCAGTCAGTCAGTCAGTCAGTCAGTCAGTCAGTCAGTCAGTCAGTCAGTCAGTCAGTCAGTCAGTCAGTCAGTCAGTCAGTCAGTCAGTCAGTCAGTCAGTCAGTCAGTCAGTCAGTCAGTCAGTCAGTCAGTCAGTCAGTCAGTCAGTCAGTCAGTCAGTCAGTCAGTCAGTCAGTCAGTCAGTCAGTCAGTCAGTCAGTCAGTCAGTCAGTCAGTCAGTCAGTCAGTCAGTCAGTCAGTCAGTCAGTCAGTCAGTCAGTCAGTCAGTCAGTCAGTCAGTCAGTCAGTCAGTCAGTCAGTCAGTCAGTCAGTCAGTCAGTCAGTCAGTCAGTCAGTCAGTCAGTCAGTCAGTCAGTCAGTCAGTCAGTCAGTCAGTCAGTCAGTCAGTCAGTCAGTCAGTCAGTCAGTCAGTCAGTCAGTTAGTCAGGACAAACAATTTTATATATATAGATTTCCAAAACACTTTAAAGGTAAAAGAGTTTTGGCAAATGATTATGTATAATTGCCTCTTTTGTGCAATGATACATTGCTGTTATTTTTGTCTGGAATATTGTCGCATGTTTACCTGAGCCCAGTGAAATTCTTTCGATAAAAAATATTTTAATTTTTTTTGATACATAAATGTAAATGAACTTTTATTTATCGACATGCGAGGGTTATGTTTGCCGCAACTTGCAGTCCCTTTTTACTTGATGCAGTATTTTTTTTAAAAAATCACTCAAAGGAGCGAAATATTCTTATTCGATTTTAAATTGTAATACCAGTCTCGATGATGAAGATAGTCTTTAAAATGTTATTTAAAGAGTCTACAGAAGTAATAGCATAGCCCAATTTGATTTAAGGTTGTAGGAATATAGGTTTGGAGCCCATAGACTGAGCAGGACATTATACATTTTGAAATAAACCAATAGATACTTTACAACTTAAACTATATAGAATAGAAATCGAGAGTTCTGATAGACTATTCTGTCAGTTGTAGAATTAGAATTTTTGATCCTATTGGTTTTACGTTATGTTATGTTGGGAATGGGGTATTAATACACTGTGACCTAAAACACCTATTGTGTCCCCTTCTGTCGCTAATACGACAAGCAAATGTCTCAATGCCTATAACGACCCTTCCAATAATATCTTCTCAAGCATTGCGTTCGGTCTGCCACATTCCTTTAACTCCTTTAACACTTTTAACTCCAAACGACCCTTTTAGCGTTCGGTTTAGTCCGATTAGTGACAGTTTAACACGCTTAAATGTCATTTAAAAGCACCCTAAAATTTGTCCCGCTCCAGCCCCTGACTATCCGAACTCGCCTAAGGAAGTGTAGGATTTGGAGTGGCTTCAAGTTAAGTAAATCTGCCTCTATTTGATATGCTCCTAGATATAGTGCCCTTGGATTCTGGAGTGATACACATTCAGTTAGAATGTGAATGGAGGTTTCGTCCACCTCCTCACAAAATCTTCACTCACTATCTTCTACTACTCTACAAGGATCCTTGTTACAATACGTAGCCTCTTCTTCCTCAGGCAGATGCAGGCTTATGATCTTTTCTGGTTATATTTACCCAGAAGTAGCTTAGTCTGTCTCAGCCCCAAGAGATTGTTCTAATTATCGGTTCTTCTACTGCCCAATTCTTTTTTAATCTCGTCCAATATTATATTGTCACGAGCCTTTCGGTCGTGATGGAGTCACTTTAAATAGTGTCTCTATGTGCTACCTGACTCGGGGAAATAAAAGAGCAGAACAACAATTAACAATTTATTAAAGATAAAATAATATATTCACAAAGTTACAATAATATAAAAAGGGCCTTACCAAGGACTAAACATCTAAAGGCGACGAGAGCACGTCACGTCACTTCTTCTAATGAAATGCGAGACGATGATGAGACTCAAACTAAGATTACCGGATGAAACTCCGACCAAGAGTGTCATTATTGTTGACCTAGCCGATTTTTATATTAATCGATTAAGGTCAGTTTGTATCTAGTCTAATGTTATATTTACATTTATTGAATATAAAGTTACGAATAGAATATACTGTTTATCAAAATATTAAATAAAATATTATGCTGAATTATTTAATTTAGCAAATGTATATTCAAATAGAAAATGTATATTTTATGTCTAGGGTGATATTTGTTTAGCGTGACAATATTACTGCTGATACAGCAGAACGGCTTAGGTCCCATAAAGGGTATTTGAGCCCCTATCCTTGTGAGGCTATCTGCAATCTCGTTACCCCGTTCCCCCTTTATGTTCCGGGACCCAAGTGAGAGTAACTCTTTTTTTCTCGACTAGCTCATTAATTTTTTTTAGACATCTCCATACCATTTTTGAACTGAGTACGTAAGAGCTCAGCGCTTTGATGGCTGCTTGGCTATCGGACATGATGATAATCTCTTGTTTACTATAGTTTGTCTAGATGTTAAATTGGATACATTTCTCGATGGCTTGAATTTCCGCCTAGTAAATGCTTGAGTATTTTCCTAAGTTTTCGGAGTGTTTGGTGCTAGGCCCATACACTCCTATTCCACTGAATAGCATCTTTTTCGATTGCAAGTGCGATGGATTCTTGGCTCCATTATTTCTTGCAGCCCAGCTCTGTGGTTTTGAAGTTTTTCACAAAACTGTACTTTAACATTTCATCCTGGGGCATATCACAGGTGCCTTTGGTCATGAAGCAAGTAGACTTTCGTATGATTACTCCGTTCCTGATCATTCTATATCGTGTCCTTTTTGCCACATTCTCTCTCATTAGTAGTGGGGTGAGGTTGAAGATCACCTCCATTGTGGCCGTAGGGCAGGATCTCATTGCACCGGTGATGCAAACACAGACTAGTCTTTGTTCTTTTGAGATATTAGCTCTCGTAGTAGTTAAACTAGTTCTGGTACTCCAGGCTAACCTTGACAGGGTATATCGAAGTCAGTCAATCTGCATAGAAGTTCGTCTATGGTTAGGCTCTACATTAGTTGAGATAGAACTTCTCCTTGTGGACATCCTCTGTTTGTACAGATGTAGAAGGTGTCATGTCCTATCTGTGTATCTGCAGTTCTCGTAGATAGCAGCTGAGCCATCCATCTGGATATGATGCTATCTAATCCTCTGTATGCAAGTGATTTTTTAACAGATTCGTGTGGCGTGTTGTCAAATTCTCCTTCTATGTCTAGGAAGGCACACACGATCGTTTCTTTGTTTGTCAGTGCATCCTGAATTACGTCAGTCAGCTGTACCAGGGCAGTTTCTGTAGATATTTCTGCTCAGTACGCGTGCTGACTGTGGTGGAGTGGTACCCGCTCCAGGACTTTTGTTCTGATATAATTATCAACAGCCTTCTCCATTGTTTTTAATACAAAGGATGTGAGGCTGATTGGTCGGAAGGATTTAGGATGTGTGGTATACTTTTTCCCTACTTTTGGAATAGAAGTGACACTGATCCTTCTCAATGCTTCTAATATATATCTCAGTTCCAGACTGCTCCAGGATAGCCGGATTATGTGTGGTAGTAATTCGTTCTGTGTTCGCTGAAGCAGGGCAGGAAATATTACATCCATACCTGGTGACTTAAACGGTTCAAAAGTGTTTACGGCATACTTTAACCGATTTCTGCCACATATGTGTTTGGCCACTACAGCGGCCTCCCTTGGGGATCTGCTTACCTTAGTTGTGTGCTTAGTCTCACTGCAGCAGGTGTATAGTTAATATCCTTACAGAATTTTCTGAAGCTTTTACGTTTAGCTTTCCACCTTTCCTGGTTTCTTTGTTGTAGCTAGTAAGTGAATCGTCTCAGGAATGTCGCTCTCTAACGTAAACGCAATTATCTTGTAATCATATAGAGATGGTTCACTCGATACTCTCCAGTTTGTAACTAGATCTTTATTGCTCGGTGTATTTAATGTGATACCTAATACCTCACTTCTTGCCCTTGGTTTTACGTTAATTTTTAGTTTATCCAAAAATTTTATTACAGAACATTTTTAAACATTGCAAGTTTCTATAATATATGGTAGGCTAAGTATTTATCAACACCACCTCGTAATTGGCCTACCCTATATACTTATTTTTAGATGTTCTATCACCCCTAGAAATATTGGAGGATTTCAAAACGTCTTTTATAAAACTTACTACAGAATTAAATATATTTTTTAGCATTACCAATGCCTTATGGTCAGTTGCCAACTTTCGAACACGACGGCAAGATAACACATCAATCACTTGCAATTTGTAGATACGCAGCTAAACAAGCTAAACTGGTTGGCAGCAATGATTGGGAAGATTTGGAAATTGATGCTGCCGCAGATACAATTAATGATTTACGTTTAAGTAAGTATTCCACTTCAGTGGCGTGTCTAAAATATATTCCAAGGGAACTTATTTAATTTTTATTTCCAGTTTTGCTCGTTAAATATTTACACACACTTAACCTCTGTTAAAAAAAGTATGCGAGCGAATTTTGTATAGCCGGTAGACTCAATTAGAAACTAAAGTAGATATTCTTTATTTCTTGCTGATGAGTCCTAATAAGGACGAAACCGGTCCAAAAATTACGTTTTTCTTCGGAAGCAAAATCAAATCTGATATTTATTTTTTTATATAATGCAATTCCTGTTGCGGTAATAGCCAAAAGAGTAGTTGTTTTCGGGAAGAAAATGATCGCGTATTGTTTTACGGACACGGAGTTTAAGAGGTTTTCTCCCTTTCCTTTGTTGTTTATTATTTATATTTTGTCAAAAACTGAAAATAAATTTGCAATATTTGATTTTAGAGATCGTCGAATATAGTTACGAAAAAGATCCGAAAGTGAAAGAACAGAGGAAAGGTCCTCTTTTCAAAGAAATCCTTCCGTTTTACGTTGAAAAATTCGAAAAACAACTCAAAAAAAACAACGGATATTTTGCTATTGGTAAAGTAAGTATCAATATGTGATCATGTCTTTTATTTTAAAAAGTACCTAAATCTAGGCCACTCTACACTCTAGTTATGAAATATCATTCGGTAGGATCGGTTCTTGATGTTCGGACTATAGAATACGATTTATTTTTTTATTTTGAATACAGAGTGATCCTAAATCTCATGTCAATATTCATTGGTCTACTTTATGGCTAAAATTTCATGTGCTTTATGTTGTTTTTAAAGATACAGGGTGTCCTCCTGTAATGTAATCAAATAGTTATAAAAATAAAACCTGCCAAGTTTAATCAAAATCGTCAAAAGATTTTTTGGGATATTATTAAAAAATATTTATTTTAAATCCCTGTATTTTAAAAAACACCATTTTGTGCACATATATTTTGATAGTGTTTCTGTAATTTTGTAGTTTACCACACTTTATGGTAACCCAAGTACTTATGTTCTATTACTTGTTCGTTTTAAATAAAAGTCAACGTAATAAAGTTAATTGTTATACCTTACCCGACACACTCAGATATCAATAAAGTTTGTCTCTATGAAATTTCTTCTGGACTATTTATGGCGTTGTTTATCTTTTGTATGCAAAAAATGCAGTTCACTATTTAGGTTGGTACAAAACCTAAAAAAAATTAACAACATCGCGAACTCTACTACATAACATGTAACAGGTACATATTTAAAACAATAATTTTATCAATAAGCTAACGCTTGTAACAACGATATCTGACGAGAAAACTGTTGAATAAACATGAATAATTCAGCAAAAGTAACTAACACAAAACTGGTCATTCAAATACATACATTGTTCAAACATGTACATCAAATCGTGACTGTTTTATATAAAACAGTGATAATAAAAAGTTTGTGTCACGATGAATGACATTTATTTTACAAGTGTAAAATATGGCACCAAACAGTACATATAGCACTAAAAAATCTACCAGAGGTCGGTAGAAGGTGAAGTACCGCAAATAAAAACAAATTCGAGAGACGCTAAAATGGTGGTTTCCACCTTATTGAGACTGAGGCCGACAAAGGTAAACTCGTAGCGTACAAAAAAACGAAAAATTATTTTTAACTTGGAACGAAAGACCGAAAGCCGATAGTAGTAGTGAGACGTTGAATTTTATGATTTGTGAAGCATTGGCATTACTTAGGTCAAACCATGTGATGATTTTGATAAGCCTTGATTTTTAAAACCATTCCATATCGCCTTTTGATTAAGATTTACAAACTTGTTTGAGCAATTTATCCAATAATAATTGGCCCCTTTACCTCTTAACCCTGCTCATGTAAAATATTTAGGCTCCTTACTTCGCCAATGGAGAGGCAAATTATATTTTACAAATAACAGTTTTGCGGCTTTGTCACCTTCCAGGCGAACCTACATTATTGAAAAAAAACGGGTTTTCTACAAGAAGTTTTTAGTAAAAAGTAGTTACAAATAATTTTATAGAAGAAAAAAAGGACCCGTTGCGCTTCAGAAGAAACGTACAATGTAGGTATATTTATATCAGAACTAAAAGATATATTTATATATATAACATAGGTACCAAATTAGAGAAAAACAGTTTTATCTATTGTGTCTATATACATACAATACACAGAGGAGATATTACATATACATGGAGTACTTAAATAAATCATCCAAAAGCCCATATCTCAGATTTATTTCAGCAGCGCACTTTTGTAAAGTTGAAATTCCCAGCAAGGGATACTTTAGAGTATTTCTGAGATAAAGATAGCACCTTTTACTCAAATATCTTCTCATGAATGCTTTACAAACTTCTCAACTCTAAACAGCCCTTGTTTTCTTCTTTAAAGTACATAGTTATGTACTTTTTTACTAAAAACTTCCTGTAGCAAACTCTTTTTTCAAAAATGAATGTACTTTTAGTAAAGCCCTTTGATTTTTTTTTACTCTCGGTTGCTTTTGTTTGTAAGAAACCATCTCATCTGCTTTAAAATGTAGGGTGGACAAAGCTGCAATTAAATTAAAAATAGTGAATGATATTTGTAGAACAATTACTCCAAAATCTTACCATTAGTCTTTAATTTCAGTTTAAGCTCGGCCTCTTTATTTGTTCTAACGATTATTGTGTGTAAACAGTAAAAATTAATTGCCAACAGCAAAAATTTAGCAAGGAGGTCGTACCCTAATCAAAATGTTTAAAATAAACCATTCACTCAATAATATTTCTCTTTATAATTCAAATAAAAAGTAATTCATTTGAAATTTGATGGAAATCATTACATAATTTTTCCTTGCTGTTCTGTAGCTTGTCTTTCAAAAAATCAAATTACTGATTTTAAAAAAACTCCAACACAGGTGTATAGTCCAAAAATAAAAATATAAACACTACTAAATATTAATAAAATATTAGATTTTCTACAAAACTAATGTACGAACAGCAGCAGAATATTTTCTGTCAACTCGATTTTTATTTATGTGACGTCACACCCTTCCTTAGCAACGGACGACGGCGCCACCGTGTTCTCAACGAACCGTGGTCCAAGACGAGTTCACTGTTCACTGCCGCCTTATTGTGTTCACGAATCCTTCAAACAGCTACTCGTGATTTCAATGAACGTTTTTTCTATTCTTATGTCGTTTACAAACTAAATATATTGTACACATTAAATGTTAAACAATGGTTGCTTGTGCTCAACATATTTGTAGCGACCTAATAGATATTCATATGAAGAAATTATCTGAAATAACATTCCACAACTAAGTATACAACATCGTAAACAATGTGCAGGACCGTACTTGAGATATTAGTTGTCCTTTGAGAGAGAGAGTGTTGTAACCATATTAGGGTTTTGTAAAGATGAATTTGCTGAAGTTGGTGCAAAAATTAGATTTAAAATAATCATAAATAATCTCTTTATCTTAATTTCTAAAAATTTACTTCAATTTCAATATAAAAACATTTGTTTTAAAAAAAATTATGAAGGCATAGAATTTTTTTTAAATGACATGGATAAGTATATTTGTGCCTTAAAAACACGTACTTTACAACACCGACTCACATTTACAGTATTTACCAATATGCTAAATGTTTTAAGACCACATAGAGCTGTTCTTTGATTGTATTCGCTTACTTGGAGGCAACAACAATAACTCTACCGGCCAGCAATTTTTAGGGGGCTATTTTCAAACTCGAGAGAAAGCGATTTTTCTCAAGATTTGTATGAGAAATGTCATACGTCATCGTAAAAACAGTATTTTTAAAGAAAGTGAAAACTGGCGGACTGTTTCTTTTGGTTTATTTCAAGAGGATTAAAATTCTCCAAAGAACTTGAATTCTCATTGGCTTTAAAAATATTGTTTTCACATTCACTCGTGAAATTTACGCACTCGCCGCTGCGTGGCTTCGTGCATAAACTTTTTCAATTCGAGCGTAATGGGTTACTTACAACTCTTGTTACGTAATATACTATTAAATAATTGTGGTCGTAGGAAAAATTGTATGCATAACTTGTTGGAAAGTATATTTTATGCACTTGCCAAATATATTATCCATACTCACAGATTAATCAGACTATTTTTTTACTTAACTTCAGTATACCTCTTACTACTAGAACTACTTTTATCACTGAGGCATTTTCGGCTTCAACCCATATATAAATTTTGCTTAGAATTGCTAACCCTACAATTCTCTATCCGTGTTTGCTGACTGGGAAACTAAATACCGAAAATCGTCACTGTCTCCTGGACTATACAGTAGATGATGGTGATGACTTCACAACAAATACACTTTTATCAATGGCTAGTTGGGGATGTGGTCCAAACTAACTGACACGATAAATGCTACCAAAACGCTGTTTCTAACTATCCGCAAGCGCAGTGTATCGCTACGAAAACCACATTGAGCTGTTGCTGTTGCCTGGTGGAAGCGATTGTATTGACTCGGCGTAAATGAAATCTGAATAGACTTTAGTAGTCTTTTCAAGCAAAAGAAATTTCAATCTCAAAACCGTTAAATTAGACGAGATAGGTAAAGAATGGAAAAATTAAGTCAAATATCTAGGCCTACATACTTTTTTGGAACTTGTATGAGAAGCAAATAATAAATAAGGCCACAAAAGCCATAATGGTATGCAGAAACATTGCGAGTAAAGGATGGCGATGTAACCTAGACACTGCGATAGATGTATACTGCAATAGTGAGACCAAATATCACTTACGGAGCTATAGCCTGGAGTAATAAAACTAGATTAGCTTCTACGTCTTAAAAGTACAAAAACTAGCCTGTGTTTGCATCATCAGGTGCAATGAGAACATGTCCTACGGCCGCATGGAGGTGATCTTAAACCTCGCCCTTCTACATTTAATGATAGAGAATGTGGCAAAAAGGACACGATTAGAATGATCAGGAACAGAATAATCAGAAGAAAGTCTCTTAGCTTCAGAACCGAAGATACTTGGGATATGCCCCAAGATGAAATGAAAAAAAGTGCTGTCCCAAAACTGTAAAAGAAACTGGAACAGGAGTGTATGAGTCTAGAACTCTGAAACTTTGTAAAAATGCCCACGCATCTTTCAGGCAGAAATTCACGTCATCGAGAAGTGTATCTAGTTTAACATCGAGAAAAAATATCGTAGACAAGAGATTATCATCAAAAATGGCCTGAAGATGCCTAGAAAAATTGAATGATCTAGGCGAGAGAAATACAGTTACTCTCACTTGAGTTCCAGAACATAACGGGGCACGGGGTAACGAGATTGCAGATAGTCTCGCAAGGTAAGGGACTCAAACACCCTTTATGAGACCTGAGCCATTCTGCGGTATCAGCAGTAAGATAATATTAGGAGAGATTAAAAAAGAATTGGGTAGTTGAAGCACCGATAATTAAAACAATATCTTGGGGCTAAGACAGGCTAAGATACTTTTGGATGAATATAACCAAAGAAGATCGGAAGCCTGCATCTGTCTAAGCAAGAACAGGCTATATCGATCCTTACTGGGCATTGCCGACACCTTAGTAAACTGACTAAATGTGTAGCACTCCAGATTCCAAGGGCATTATACCTAGAAGCATATCAAATAGAAGAGGAAGATTTGCCTAACTTGAAGTCACTCCAAATCCTACACTTCCTTGAGATGATAGGATTGGAAGGGTCGTTATAGGCATTGAGGTATTTCCTTGCTACATTAGCAACAGAAGGGGGCACAATAGATCTTTTAGGTTGCAGTGTATTAACACCCCATTCTCATCATAACATAAATACTGCACAGAAATAAGGGTAATATTTTTGATGAATACAGTTTTATAATTTTTGTATTCATAGTAATTCGATTATAACCTACATTTTACTATAAACATATGTTTTTAGTTCAAAAGATTCAAGCAATGATTTAAAATAAAATTTAAGCACTCAACTACAAATAAATATTTTTTCTTATAGGTATTCACTAATCACTATTATATTTATAATTTATATTTTTTTCAGTTAACTTGGGCTGATGTTTACTTTGTTGGCCTCCTTGAATTCTTAAACTATATGCTGGGTAAGGATTTATCTGATGGAGCACCAGGATTGAAAGGATTAAACGAAAAAGTCCGTGCCATTCCTCAAATTAAGACCTATCTTAACAAACGTCCAAAAACTGTTCGTTAAGCAGATACCTGAGTATCTTCTCTCATGTCAAGAAAGTCTAAACGAGCAATAACTATCTACAACATCCTAACACAAAATATTTGAAAATATGAATAATTAAATATATTATATTTAATAATACCCACTTATATGAAAAATATTGATTGTTCAATTAGTTGCCTTGCTAAATTGTCAATTTTTTAAATTTTTTAGTATACTTTCTTGCACCAAGACAATAAAATATTTAATAAATATTAATTGCTGATTTGAATTTTTTTTTTTTAAGAAGCAATGTGCAATATATTTATAGAGTAAGCTTGAACAAAGAAAAATCCTTAATTTCTCACATATTTATTTATCAGCGACCAGTTTGGATGTAGTATCATGATCATCAGGATACAATAATTTCTATTAAGTATCGGTAACATTGGGTAAAATGTTTTACCCAAGCAAGACGTTCTAAGCTGAGAAATCCATCGTTTATCATTTCTAGTAACAAAAACAAATACAGTACTCATTACCTACTAGTTGAGTTGACAGCTAAAAATTAACAAAATAGTTACACTATAAAAAATCTGATGTGTCCAACACTTTCCTATCTAGTTATTACAGGCTTTTATTCGGTTATTTTGTACAACCTATCGTAGCACCTCTGTAAATGTTTATAAAAATTTGATTTTTTTACATTTTGTCAAATTTCTCGAATAAGGACCATTTAAAGAAAATTTTGTATGAAACAAAAATTATAGGGAATAATATTTGAAGTAACTTTTATTTAAAATATTTTCTTCTCCAAACGTACATAACATATATTTCATAAAATATAAAAATGGCCTCTTATAAAGTACCCTCCCAGATGTTCCGACTCTGCCCAAAATCTAATCAGTTCACCGTAGGCCGGAATAAAGCTTAATTTTAAAATTTTGTGTTTTTTTTTATTATCTGTTCATGAGTTATCGTGGATACACACACAAACAAACACCACACACAAACACGACATCATCGCGAAAATAGTTAAAACGGATTCAGGAGACCCCAAAACGTAAAAATTCGTCGAAAACTCGAGGTAGAAAAAATCATGATTCCTTATACTTATCTATATACAGATTGGAAAGTAAAAATTTAAATCTTATGAAAAAATCAAGCTTTACAAACGGCGGTTTTCCACTAAACAAACAAAACAAAAATAAAACACAAACTCTTGTCGAGAAAAATAAAACTGAAACTTTTCGCAAACTTTTTAAAGACTGGCGTGTTTTGATGGAAACAAGAGTTTTGGATTTGTCTCAGTTTTGTTTTTGTTTTTCAAGTTCCAGAAAACACAAACAAAACAAAAACTCAACTTTCCGTCTAGTGGAAAGCCGTCTTAAGGGGATGAAGCCTATTGATTCTGAAAAAAATCTGATTCAAAATGAGGGTTAAGGGGGCCTATTAATCTGTGAAGACTATAATATAGAATTCCGATTATATAATATATTCAGTCTAGTTTTTAAGACGTATTTTGTATTTATATTATTATAAACATAATTTGTTACATAAACATTTGTTACGCATTGTTTAAAGATGTTACGTAATTATTTTGATCAGTCGTGGATTCGATATCGATACTGATTTGAGCGTGGGTCTTGAGCCAAAGTAAATCCCCTGAGCCCCTTTATTTTAGCCTCTGATTTGAGCAATGGTGAGCTACTGATTTGAGCAATGGTTTGAGCCACTATATTCAAAATAAAACAGAAACCTCAGTACTCCAGTTAACCTTTGAGATTGCAATGGAAATATAAATTACTTAAGGCTTTGATTATGATTGTACAATGATTTATAAATTTCATCAACAAAAATCTAATATTAAAAACGACTTGAGAGCCAATATATGTAATTTAAATATCCAGACATCACACAGAGAAAGAAAAAAAAATATATAAAAACTGCTTGCTCACATAACCTACTAGCAGAGTTGGGTCGGATACAGGAAAAAAGTATCCGAGTATCGGATACGGATACTTACAATGTACCCGGATACTTTTATCGGATACTTTATTAAAGGATACTTTTACGGATACTTTTAAATTGAGTTATAATACTTTCATACCAATAGTTATAATTATGCAATAAGATTGATTGCGAGTAACAATAAACAATACTAGGCATAAATAAATTATCGAAATGGAAAGCGATATAATAGAAACAGGAAAAAACTACTCAATAAATTGTTAATTAATTTTATTCTGTGAATATAAAACATTAAAATAAAATGAACAATAAAACATAAAGGTGCGTGTTAATAAAACAAGTCGCGCCTGAACCGCGCCTAAAACCAGCCAGTGTCGTGTCCATATAAATCTAACGAAATAAGCTCGTTATTGGCGCGACTTGCCATGTTTATACAACCTTTCGATATTCTCGTCAGTGTCAGATGTATTCGACAATTCATTTTTTGTGGATCCTCCGACGAGCGGTACTTCGTAGAGTCGAGAGCGTCGAAAGGAGGAGGAGTGAGAGATTGCTGAATGTTTCGTTCTCACATAGGTAAAGCAGGCTCGTATATTTGATCTTGTCAGATCTGTATACTTTATTGGTGTTGATGACGACATAAATAACACATGATCAGTAACATTATGAGCAACAATGTCATACATGTATTTTCTAAACTACATTTTAAGAACTAATAATGTAATTAGACATTTTTCAAAACAAAAAATTCGAGGTACCTACACCTACTTACCTTTGCGTATAGTTAGGCACTAAAACTGATACATAACGTTTATATTATTTATTGTTTCGGCCTTTACTTGATGAAAATCCATTTAATTTTGAAAGAGTAAAACATAAAGTTTAGTTATATTGCACTATATAAAAACACAGGAACAACCGTCTCTTTTCTTTGCCAACTGAAACATAACTGGCCTAATGGAACCTCCACATAATTATTGTATTTTAGTTGTACTTTTATTTTTTCCTTACTTCGTCTCATATCGCAGCTCGGACCAGTATGTTGGAAAGAGAATCGCCCAAGCAGCGCTCAAATTTCAGTAAATTGAGTAATATGTCTCCCAACAAAATACAAAATAATTTACATTTTGAGTTTAACATAGAGTTTTATTTCGATATTTTATTCATTGTTATCTAAGTAATTGTGATTAGAAAGTTATATATCTATTATAATAACAGAAAAGAAAGTAAATAGTAGGTTTTTCAATTTGATGGAAAAATTAGAAAAAAATTTGTTGAAATGAAATTAAGCACCTATTATTACCTACCTATTACAAAACATATTTAGGAGAGACTGAAAAATATGTAGTTGAAGAAAAGCTTATTTAAAATGAAGAATTTTGGCAGAAACAAAAAAATAAAGTTTATTTTTATATTTCTTTATAGGTATAGTTTAATTTGTAATATTTTTTCTTAAAATTAAACTACAAGATTACCATTAGTTGTATGGATTTCCTAATTAAATAAAGGTTCTTTCTTCAGGTAAAATGTAGCAAAGTTCTGAAGTACGATACGATATGTTTGCAGACAAGTGTTTTGAAATGAAATAAATCAAATCTATACGAATTTTGTCTCCACTAACAAGATATTATATTCAACAGTCGAAAGTGTAAACTTGTGGGCAACAGCTTATTAAATGTATGTAGAAGTCCAAGAAATTGCAATGGTACCAGCTTTTACTATAATAATAATGGTTTTTATCATTCTTCTGTTCTTTTGTAGATAGGATTTATAATTGTTGCTTAAATTCCACATTGTGTATCAGAATGTCTTTGGTCTTCTTGAAAACATATTTTTATACAATATAAAGCAGATGGTATATTTTTTTGAGACATCCTTCAAGCCTTTCGAAAACTAAATGTTTATTTGCAGGTAAGATAATATCTATCTTAATTTTATATGATCATTTATTTTATAGACAAATAATTAAATAAAAATTATTAAGGCATAAAAAAGGTAATTTGTAACTTTGTGTCAGCAGAAGGATTTCCTACACCCAATTTAATATATTTTTTACAAACAAATAAAATGTCTTTAGTATGATCCCTAGATATTTTTAATAATTCAGCACTACATATGTTTCGGAATCTTCTGGTGCAGTCACAGCTTTTTAAAATTTAAAAAAACATTTAGGAACATAAACACTTTAAAATGATCATGGACGAAACTCATATTTTGTGATAGTGTGTAGGTAGCCAGAGATAACCAGGAGATGTAACTACTAACAAATATCGTGCGGCCCGCAATACGATATATTCTAAGGGACACAGTAGGGTATAATATCCGCTGTTGTCATTATTAGTAAAGTGTATGTATTAAAATATACGCTCAAGACAACGATTTATCTCCCACTCTTTTGTCACAAGCTGAATTTTTCACAGATGAAAGGTCATGATAAGGCAACCGTTATTCCGGAGGTAATACAAAATTAGACTGTGCAGAAGGGCTCTATCATCAAAAATCCAGATACCACCGAATAGAGAAACAAATACTCATTTTTTGATCAAATGCCCAATAAAATCTTTGTAGGGAGTAATTGTTCATACTTATTTAAAAAAAATCATTTGCATTAGCCCTTACGGCCGAAAAAAATATAAACTTAAATATCTTGGTTTTAGCCCTTCAAAAATTTAGTTAAAAAGTCGTCTTTTTTAAATATACTACTCATTTAACAAAAAACGAAGGCCTAAATGAAAAAAAAAAAACATTCTTTATAAAATTTTTGCTTATGTGTTGACAAGGTAACACAGTAAACACCATATTTTTTGGTTTTGAATTAACAAAGATATAACAATAAACGATGAGAGATGTCATAGGTTTATGCTGTAATTAATTTTCACCGCCAATTTTATCGACTCTCAGTGTATCTTTCTCTTCACCTTCAAACGTAGCATAGCTCTGTTTCTCTCTACGTGCCGGCTGATAGGCCTTTTCATCATGTGATGAGCGCAAGCGCAGCCGCCATGTTGAAATAGCGCCAATTCAAAAGTTTAGTACTGTTTTGATCAACAATCGCTGGAAAAGCAATATTATCTCTACACACAAATCAATCATTAGAAAAAATCGTTGATGGTGATTTACATTTTAACAATTCTGTGGAAGCAGATAGTTGTGAGCAATTAAAAAGGGCCTTGAAGTGACGTAGAGGTTCGGAACAAGGAAAAAAAGTGTGGTGATTGAGAGGTTAGGTTTCAATACATATTAACTGTGTAAAAAATTAATGAAAACAAACAATAATTATAACTCTATTCTAATTAATTAGGCCAACCAACTATTAATAATTGCAAAAACACTTTAACATATAAGTTAATCACGAGTATAATTAATAAGATAAACTATTTAAAATTGTAAGGATCAACATGACATTTTTAATAATATTACTGTGTATACCGAAGTAGTATTTAATATTAAAAAATATTGTGTAATACCAGACAAGGATTTTCTTCTGTTGAACCACTTTCTCCATGAAAATGTAGTGAACAATTATAAGTATCTTTAGTAACATCATTCATCAATCGATCGAAAACCTTTTGTCACTTTGATCACATTTTTTCACTCATAATGCTTATTTTAAACAGGTATAATATGTATTTTGCCTAATGATTTGATAGTTTTTTTACGATATTGCAGGCAAGTCTTTTTAAAAAATAATAATTTATACCGTGTGTCACTTTTTCATACTCATAACAATACCGTTTAGTTTTTCGTTTCCGTAAACATAACATAATTAATTGATTAGAAAAATTGATTTTTCAATTAAGACACTTATTACTTTACTTTTTTTATCCCATTTTTTAATCGAATACACTTAAAATTAATATTTATCGATTATAATTTTTTTTCGTGGATATTTTAACATGCTTGTTTACAAAAAAACAGTACGAAAAAGATGGCTGATACTGACGCATGCGCACAAAAAAATATTGTGATGAAAAGCCCTATTGTATCACATTATTGATATGGTAGGATTTTTTCATTTTTTTTATTCTGAAACTTCTCGTTATGTTCCATTGGGCAATGTGTCGTATTGTTATCTGTTTTTACTAAAGAATTAATA